CCCCAAAACCCCAAAACCCCATGAAGCTTATAAATATTAAACTGTTCGCTAATAATAATAATCAGAAATGAAAATTCATGATTGTCTTTGAAATTCCACTATTTATAAGTGGTTTATCATTGTAAAAATCACCAATAAATTCCTCATACTCCCTCTCCATTTTATCCTCGAATCCTTCTCTCAGTTTCACCATCTTGCCTACTCCTTTTTTATAATTTTCTGAGAAGCTTCCCTCGTAGTACTCAAGAACTACGGTTTTTTATTTGTTTGTATATATTATCAATTTACCAGAACCTTAGAATCTATCATTTACAAAGCTACCAGCATATTCCATATATTTTAGAGATCTTAAATCATTCCCTTCAATAATTATTTATTTCAATAATGCATAGCCATGTCTTTTATCATTTACGAAATCCCCCTCATACGAATAATTTTGATTATCTTTGTTTTCTATACCATATCCATTTCTCATTCCATAAAGCCAAAAGCCTGTATAGAAATCACCATTTGATTGCTAAAATCTACCCTTTCCGCTAAATTTCCCATCTTTCCATTCTCCTTCATAAATATCTCCGTTTTTAAAATTCATTATACCTTGACCATTCATTGTTCCATTCTTTGACTCTCCTAAATATTTACCTCTTTCAGTTTCGATCTCACAAATTTACCCATTTAAGATATCCTCTGAAAATTCTCCTTTCATTGAATATTTCCCGTCAATGTGAGATTGTATTCCAACACCATTTAGCTTTGAGTCCTTAAATATGCCTGTTTTTACTTCTTACTAATCTGAATAAATTCCTTTTCCTTGCATTAAATGGCCTTTCCAATAGCCAGTATATTCTCTTTAACTTAATTCAGAATAATCCTTATTTTCAGGAGCCCAATAAAATGTTCCATGATATTGAAGATTAGCTCTAAATGTGCCATGAAACCGTGAGCCATCAGCAAATTCAACAGTAGCTTAACCATCCTTTAAATCATTTTTGAAATCTCCTTTATAGAAACAGAGTCCTCTTTTTTCGAAACTGATATTTTCATTATTCTAAACAAAGCTATAAATACCATATCCATGTCTTAATCCTCGCTAAAATTCACCATCATATATTTTTCCAGTTATGAAGTTTAATTTGCCCTTACCAGAACGCTTTTTATTTTGTCTAGGTCCTCTATACCAAGAACCATCACAGTATCTATATAAGCTGCTGTTCTTATTTATCTCGGCTGAATCTTTGAACACTTTAAATTGATCATTGATTGAACAATTTTCATTGCTTTCACTGTCTCTTAGACTTAGTTTCATGTTTCAAAATATTTAATCATTCTCTATAAATGAAAGAAATTTAGTCTTTATTGCAAATAAACCCTTGAAGGGCTACATACTATGAGGATTACTTGTGGGTATAACGATTTCATCATTGTCTAATATCTATTTTGTGCATTAATTGCATATCTCCTATATTATCTATCTCCAATTAATTCTATCTAGGATAGGGTTTTTTACATCAAGATATTCAATGAGGAAAATGACAAAGTTTTCTTCAAATATATCCCATCTCAATTAGTCTAATAGATTTCCTAGGTTCATAGCTATAACTTAATTCCATATCTCTAATGATTATCTTCTAACGAATTCTTTGTACTTTGGAGTGATGTAATATGAAGAATCTACTTTCATCTGTTATGAAGAGTTGTCTTTTTCCCGTTTAGACATTTGTCTTCTGCTAAAAATGCAATCACATACTTTTCGCAATAGCACATCTTCCATTTCAGACATTTAATAAACTCCATGATTTCCTAAATCTCTCAAAGAAACGTTAAGCTGCTTTTTGGCATTAACAAGACTATTTATGTTATTAACACCTCCATTTTGTGCTGTATAATCAAAATCGTTATTATCTAATCCATTTGTAATTGCTTTAATCTGCTATTATTCTATTTAATTATGCTTTTTCTCTTCCTTAAATAGAAATTTCAAGGCATATCTCTCTTGGTCGTCCTGCAACTCAATCTCTCTTTTCTTAGCCAAGAATTCTCTTTTATCCTTATCTTTTTTCAACTTATCTTGGTTATTCAAAAACTTAAACCTATTAGAATTGAATAAAATACTAAAGCAATAAAGGTGCATATATATAGATAAATATCATACCTCTCTGTAACTGATAATGATGTAGGCACCAAATTTTAATAGTTATTTTCATTATTTTACTAATATTAAAAGTCATTATTCTTTTGCGAATCAAAGTATAGCTCATCTGGAGTCTAAAATTAAACCACCTTTTGATAAGGTAATAATCTAGATGGAGAAGGTGGCTAAGTTTTTATCTTGAAATTTGCTTGAGGTTTTTCATATACCTCAATCTTCTTCTTTGGTATACCAATAAAACTAAGATTATTCAAACCAGCTTAAATCAAATTAGTCCTCTCATCTCACTATTTGAAGGAAATTATATAGGGGAAATATATTTATACTTACTCTGTGCTTTTAGTTAATTTACTTCATTGAATTATTAGTGGCTTTTGTAATATTTTCATATGGGAAATAATTGATAACAGGACCTTGTCTGTATGGTTAGCCAATATAACTGTTTTATAGCTAGACTTAGTATTAGTAAGATTGAGCAATTCCAGAATTGTTTGCAATTGGTGTCAAAGTATTGTAATTTTGTATTTTAGAACTAGGTATGTAATTGCTTCTAATGTTACCCTCTATTGGATTTCTTATTATGATTCTATTATTATCTTGAAGTAGATCCCTTGACATGGATGAGGACCTGTTTGATAGAAAAGAAACAGCATCTCTCGCATACCTTGTCACCAGAGAGCTATTGATTTTTCTTGGTACTCATTTATTCTAAATGTCCTAAACTTCATTATCTAGCTCATTCTCTAAACTAAATTATATCAATGCTAAGATTATACCTTGATGGAATTTATTCAGTAGCCATTATATTATTTTTAAAATGTTTTAATAAAACAAACTCTTCTAAAGTCTTAATTATGCTATATAATATTCTTGGGGTTTTGGGGTTTTGGGGTTTTGGGG